TAATTTTCCAGAAGACTGAATAAATGCAACTACTATCTATCCAGACACAAATCTTGTCTTTATTGTGCTAACCTACAAACAAACAAAACAACCAAAAAAAACCCCCAAACAACCAGACATGTCAGTACTTTAAAAAAAAAATTCAAGTTAAAACCAAGACTGGAGTTCATAATCCTCAAGCAATTCCTCCCCCTAGAGAGGGAATGGATGGTTATTCTGGAGTCTGATAGACAACAAAGTGACATTTGTCATTTTAGTCATATAAAGAGGATAACGCTCGCTACCAAAAAAGTTTCCTGATATTTGCAGAATGGGGGAGGGGAGAGAGATAGAAAGTGAAACATTATTAAAAAGTGATCTGAAATACTGTGGGGAGATGCACCTGATGATGCATATGGCTATAATAAAAAGCACCACAAGTGACCAAAGGATTCCTTCAGTGCAGAAGCAGCGCAGGGAACATTTAATCAGGCTTATGCTGCCACTTTCTCAAAAAGTTAAGGAACACATTAAGGTGGGGGACATCTTTGCTGCACATGGCATCCTATGGAGGTTCTGGGCTCGGCCCCCAGCCTCCCTGAGAAAGCCATCTTAAATTACAATAACTACAAGGGCAATTTAATTTATCCTGGAGAGTAGCCTGCCCCTGCCCCCTACTCCCCGCAAGCCAGCCCAGAATTCAGCTAAAGTATAGTTGGCTTAAAGCTGCCTGTGCCCATCTTCCCCTTGTTCTCTGCATTTTGTGGTATTCTTCTTGGCAGGTTCAGAACCCAGCTAAGTCCCATGCTCTTCAAATCGCAAGGCTATGGTAATCAGAGCAAAAGCCCATAGCTAAACTCCAGTCTCCTTGACTAGGGGCAGGAACAGGCCATTGTCAAATATATCTACCTACATTTCTCAAACACAGGATGAAAAGCAGTCCTTTCATTTACAAGAGGTGTCAGGCTCAGGACTCGGCATTAGAATTTCTTGTGCTTCCAGTAGCCGGGGAAGAAATTCCTTTTCCTCTACCCATCAAACCCCAGCTCTGAAGGATGGCAAGGAGACAACAGGAATGAAGGTATGTGCCAAGTCTTGCAGAATCAGGTCTTATACAAGGTTATTAACTACGGCATGACACACACAGAGCCCTGAATTCAAGTCCCGGCAAGGAAAAATCCCTTTCAGTTCAGTATTGGGACAGATTTGTTAAGAAATCTGTGTGTTACTGACTATTGGGGGAGGTTGTGGAGTTGCACTCCCTTTTTCATGGAATTTGATATTTAAAGTAGTATTTCAATTCCCCTTTCAGTTTATCATTACACATAGAATTTTAATCAGCAAGACATCAGCAGAGTCTCTAGGGGGATTTCTTGAGCAGGTTGGCTCCACTCTCACAGAAGTGGCATTTGAGTACCAAACAATATCTATGAAGTAGACAGAGGACTACTGTACAATGTTTTGCAGACAGATACCAGTATCTCTTAAGAACTCAACCCAGTTTTAGCTTTCAATTTTTTTTTAATGGTACCTAGCTGCAAATTGGACAGATAAGGATTAAAACAAAAAGAGAGTCAGATCAGCCAGCTACAAAGGGAGGTCAGAAAAAAGTGGCATAGATTTGCCATTTGCAGCAAGAAGTTCCCATCTCAAAGCCCAAATGATGCTCTTTGGTTTCATAAAATTTACAAGATGGGATTCAACTGGGGGCTGTGTGTCAGCACTAGGGTGAGAAGTGTGGAGGCCTGGCCTTGAAAAAGCATCTGAAGCCACCTTCACGATGCAGGTGTATACCCTCGGTTACCACAATGCCTCTATCCTTTCCAACGCCACCAGTTTCAGTTTCTCCTTATGGTGGCACACTAAAAATGCTGACATTTTCGACAGTACACATCCTGCCAAACTCCAAAAGCTTTAGGTAGATTCTGCCCAGAGTTTCACCCCATGTCTCAGTGGGTTTGCATAAAAGCTGAACCGGGCCCCTGACATCATATCCTACTCATGTGGATAGGCAATGGACTCTTGGTGGAAAAGTTATCTGCCACTCCAGTTTGTTTGAATTCAGGCTGTCAGAATAGACCCCTCCCCTATACACAGAGGGAGCCAAGAGAAGAAAGAAGATCCCCTTTTCCCTCCAGAAACCACAAGACATCTGGGCTGAGTTCTCCGTGAGACGCAAGAAGTTTCGCCCCTGAGTACAATATATAAACAAAAATGCAACACCAGTCATTACCATCCCACAGTCCGAGGCAGGACCAAAGAAATGTTTTTAGCATAATCCCCTCTACTTGTTGCTGCACTCGGGGGGATAGGGCTCCATTTTATGAGTTAGACATGACAAGAAAAAGAGAAGGGGGTGGGGGGCAATTGAGGCAGAGAGAAAGAGGGGGATTCATTTCCTTCACAGAAAACAGAATGGTACCCAAGGCCAAAGCAGTGGAACACCACACAAGAAAACCTTACAGAAGACAGAAAGTGGCGTTTAACAGTGACACCCTTGCAGCCCCATGTGCTGTGCTGAGAGCAATGTAGTACCTCCACTGACAATGGTTTTGGAAAGTAAAAGATCAAAAAAAAAAAAATCTATGGAACATTTCCAAAGAGACAAGAGAACCCAGACCATTCCCATGGTATCAACAAATCCAACCCCAAAGCCTGTGTTCCCAGCAGCAGCATAACAACTATTGTCCAGTTTAGGGCACATGGCTCTTCTCCCACGGAAGGATCCTTCCTAGCTGACAGATGTGCAGTTCAGTTCTGTAGACTCTTGCCTGTCCGTGGTAACCAGTCCTTCTGGCCCATCAGCAATACTGGGCTCACTGGAGCACTGACGGTGGCTGAAGCTGGGCTGAAGGAGAAGACAGTTATCACTGCTATCTGATTCTTCTATTACCATCCCTGTGTGCATCATGGAGGCCATGGCCAGAAGCTGAATATCCGAGTGGGCATTGGCAACAGTATGGCGACGGATGCTGCCACATTTTTCCAGGTAAGCCTCACCCTCCTGTTCTGTGAGTGGTGTCAGAGCCATTTCGCTGGGCTGCCGACCAGTCATCATGTGGGAGTTGTAGCTCAGCATACCGGTCTTAGCACGGGATCTGGAATATCGCCTCTCTAGAAGACAGAAAGGAAGCAGGAAAGGTAATCCCAGCATGGACAAAACCCCCTGCTGAATTTGCCAGGCCTGTCTCAAGGTCATGTGCAAGTGAAAGCAGCAGAGCTGTTGCCCTGCTGGGGAAGTGGGGCTAAAACAGGTCTCAATGCTCCCCTCCCTTACAATTATCAGAGATAAGTAGCCATGTTAGTCTGAGGTTAGGCAGAAGGCAAGGTAGAGGTGCACCTTATAGACTGACTGAATCAGAGATGCATAAGCTTTTGAGAGTCAAAGCTAACTTCATCAGAAGCTGTGACCCTTCTGCCAGGCATGGGTGGGGGGTCATCCCTTTGCTCTAGAAAATGCTCTGCCATGAGAAGTCAATGCAAAGCATCCTACACTTACACCACAAGCAGAGGCAAGGGCAGGGACATGTGCAAGGAAGAAACCATTTCCCCAGGTGTTACATGCCCCTGTCATGCCAGAACTATCTTAGTGCATCCTATACCATACTTGCCCACTATCAAAATGTATCCACTTCTGCAGCGGGGATCAGAAAGCATCCAAAACTCCATAGCAACACTGAACAACAGTTTAAAATAGGAGGTAAAGAAGGATACTGCGTGTGTTTAGAACTGCTGGGGCAATTTAGCAAGACAGGATGGTATTACTGGCCTGGACTCAGGTTCAAAGCCTGCAAAATAATCAAGGAGTACTTCATTACCAAAATGCACCCCTCCCCCCAGCAGTTTGAGGCACTGATTCAAAACTGACTCAGCTACTTTTAGGACAAGCAGGGATCTTAACTTTTGTCCTGGCTCATTGCCATTCAGGTAATATCATACTGCATTAACTACATTCCTTCAGCAAGTCTAAGTGAACCCAGCGTTATTCTTCACCTCCTACCCTTAACTGTTGTGCAATGGTGCTGTGTACGTATTGAACACCTGTTGTTTTCTACACCAGAGGTAACTGCATTTCAAAAGCACATAAAGCCATTCCCTGTAACTTTCTTACCCTTTCCTACGAGTGCTGAGGAGTGAGGATCCATTAATATTTAGAAAGTGCTTCTGAGACGTTATAAAATCCTCCCACCTGAAAATAGCAAAGCATGAGGCAAAGAATAACAAAATGCAAAGCACTGATGGCTATGAAACACTCTTGGAAGCTTGCACTAGTAAGAAAGGCAGAAAACAAACTCTATATTGTTACAAGGAGGGATGGACGAGCAGCCAAAAATCCACAACTGGCAGCAGCCAGGTTATGACAACACTATACCCTGCTGCTGCCAGTAACACATTCATTTGGAAAGGTTCATTTTGTGCTTAAAAGAATGTTCAAATTCATTTTGGGCATGTTATGGGCAAATAAGTGTGTTTTTTTTAGAAGCCAGCTCCAGCTAGCCCCACAGCAAGCTATGTTCCAAGTAAGGGAGGAAAGAAAAAATATTTAAAGGTGTATCCCCACTGGATCTTTTGCCCTGCAGCATCCCAGTATTGCTACCCATACATGCAGCTTGTTGAGGGTAACCAGAGGTGGGAGCGCTAGAGTAGACAAGCCACTGCACCTTAACCATTGTATCATCTAACCCTGTTCAGAGTGCTGCACCACTGTTGCCTGTCGCTGCTGGGTTTGCACTAGCACTCCCCCAAATGGATGATGGGACATTTTATTTGAAGAAAAGTTGATCTACCATAGACAAGACTTAAAGGACACAGTGGTAATTAGCAACAGCCGCCCCTTCACCATCCTTAGTATTCACAAGGGCTTCTGCTTTTCTGACTGAAGAAATGCAACCCAAGGGCTGACACAGTGGGAGAGAAAAGCCAGTGCAGAAGTCCCTCAGTTTAGTAACAAGTACCAGTACTTATATACCTGGACCTACCACTCCCATTGACTTCAATGGAATTCAAGCTTCTAAGCATCTCTAAAGGGTCTTAGATATTACTAAGTGTTAAGCCTCTCCGGTCAGAAGTCTTCAGCTCAAGAGAAGATATGGCTCGGTTGATTTTTAGAAAGTAAACTAATCACCACCCCTAAGTTTACTGCAGAACTACAGAGGGTAGGTGTACGTTGCAGTCGTTGTGGTTTGTGTAGGGATACCCCGGGTGGCTTTAAACTAGTTAGTTGCTGTTCTGCTAGCAGTCTAGAAGTGGCAGCATGGAGCAGGCTGGCTGCTCAAGTATCTACACAGCTTCTCAGGATTTTGTAGCCGGGGCTGAGCTCTGCACTGCTGTGGTTACACAACACAGTATCTCTGCTGAGATCTAGTCACGGCTCACAAATTAAACAGTGCCAGGCCTGATCAGAATTTGAGCAGGGAGTCCTTAAAAAAACCCCTACAGATACTGCAGGTTTGAGGGTAATTTAACAGATCGTGCTTTTCTCTCTCAGCACTCTAGTGCTGAAGCTAGTATGCGAACATGACTACTTTGCAGCTGTCTTTAGGGCAAGAAAAGAAACGGAAGAACCAGACTAAAATAGCTAGCTCAGGGACAGCAGTCTACTTGCCACAGCACAGCTCAGAGCCTGAGAAGTTGGGGCAATAGCCCAAGCTGAGCTCCAAGGCCACTGCAGCCACCCTACTACTAGCACCCACATGTAAGGTCCACTCAGGCTACGCTGACACACTGCAGTCACAGCACACTGAGGTGGAGATACACCCTTTATCATCATTCCCTGTGGTGTGTTTTCCAGACACATGGTGGCCAAATTTCTCCTGTGCCTGAAAGTCAAATTTTACGAACTCCCCCTGGCTAAGAGTTGTGGTGTAATGCTGCTGGCACAAATAAGCTGCTGCATGCTAATCCTGGAGAAGCACAGCTCACCGATTCTTTCTTGCTGTCCTCAGTGCTTTAGACTGCAAGGTGATGCTCAAGCTGGTATTAAGAGTCAAATGCAGTAGAATGCTGCAGAATGGGAAGGGAATGACAGCAGAAGAGAGACCCAAGCAAAATAGGCTTTTACAGAAATGAACAGCTTCAAAAACTTACCAAACCAAGTGTCTTATTCTGCTGGAATTTGCTGGGGCTGTCTAAACTGTAGATTATTTATTTCCGTCAGCTGGGATGAGGAAGGAGCTGAATGGCAACATTCTGTTGGGCCACCATATGATCCCATTTTTCTAAATTAGATTTTGCAGTGGCTTCATGTGTGTCTCATTTTTTTAGTGATCTGCATTCTATACCTTCAATTACCCTTTGCAGCTGCTAGTTTGTAAGAACAGCAACAAAGGCAGATAGAAAACCTCTGTTATTTCAGAGTGGTGAGGAGGCCCCAAAGAGATCTCTTCAACTCCCATTCCAGCAAGCAGACAATTTGGCCAGATGGAATCAGGTGAAGATCTCTCTTGGGACAAGTGGAGAGGCAAAAAAGAAAGATGATCCAGTGTTCGGGACACTAGTTTAACCCCTAGGAAACATTGGTTTGCTTCTCCACTGTGTCTTTGCCGTCCTTTGTGACCTTGAGGGAGTCACTCATGGCTAGCTTCTCCAACATGCTCAGTACTGCAACACTATCCCCTAGGCTCCCGACAGCCCCAAGGAACCCTGAGCCTCTGGCAGGTGTCTAAGTTCATCACAATATATGGTAACAATTCAGCAACTAAAGAATGGGAAACCAGCTCAATACAAAGCTGCCTAAATTAGCCAAGAGTGATATGCAGGGAAAAAAGAATGGGAGTTAAATGCCTGAGAGGCAGAGTGGGCAGTGGCATAGAGTCACCTCATTGATGAACCTCCAGTTCTAGTGTGCAAGTCAGGCATGGACAGATGTGTACAGTTCTGTCCTCTCTGGGACTGGCTGCTGCAGGCACACAGAGAAGCTCCATGAAGTGGTCAGACATTGGGATGATGGTACAATACAAGTGCCTTAGCTAGCTAGGAAGAAAGGATTAGAATTGATCTTCTGGGTCAGTGGATCCACTCTCCTGCTATCACAGCAAGTAGTCCATACAATCCCTTTCATAAATGAATATGTGGGATCACAGCATAGCATCAACCAGAAAGGAATCAGCTCCAGATTTCTGCTACACTGAAAGAGCCTAGAATAATTCTTTGCCCTTGCTTGTATCAGTACATGTTTGGCAGCAAATTACAGCTATGAATGAAAAAGAGAGAAACAATCTTATCTGAGCAGATGACATGTGGTCCTTTGCTAGAAGAAAGTACTAAAAACAGATGGAGGGGAGTTTGGGAGCCATTAATTGGAGTATATGATCTGTCCTTGGCCAGGCTGAGGAACACACATGGCTTTCAGCTTCAGGATTTGCTAATCTGGAGCAAAACAAAGATCCATTAAATACGGTATTTTTTCACCAGCAGAAATGACTGAAGCTCTTCTGCCTATTATACTTGGTTCTCCCTGCAGACATCATGCAATGTACCACTGCCAGGCTCAAATCCATATGCTACAAGCCAGTGCCAACTGGGATGTACCCGTAAATCTTTAAGTCCATCATGCAGAGAGGCAGGGTACGAGAGACCTTCCTTCTGATCCTTACAGGGGAGAATATGAGAAGTGCAGATGTAAAAGCAGAGATGCTCTGCCACATGGGACACCACAGTCAATCAACTCTTTTCTCACTTAGAAATCTTCCCCAGATAGGCCTCTGGAGAAAAAAGTTGTCCTGGGTTCTCCATTTCTGAAACCCAGTCAGCTGAGGTTACAGCCAAGAGCTTAAAGCCAAGACACTCCTGGACAGAAATCCACCACAGCCAGCTTGCTGTGTGGAAAGCAAAGGGAATGCTGGCTCTGAATATGGACAGCATTACTCATGGATTTATAGGAAACGATTCAAACCAAAAACCAGGCTACATCTTGTATCCTCCCAGCAGCCACACAAGATGCAGCCCTCAGGAAACTATTGTGAATAGTTTAGCTAGGATTTTAGATCAACCATGGTTTGTTAAAACTGAAATAGGAACATAAATAGAAAAATTTTGAGGGAGACCCTTGTACGCAAACACAGATCAACAGCAAAGCTCGTGTCAAACACGCTCTTTGCCTGTTGGGGCAGGCA